TTGTTTTGTTCTGAGTGTAGAAATATTTCCATTTCATCTGGGGCATTGGTGTCGGGCCTCGACCAATCCGGGTTTGTTGTGTTGTTAGTGTGAATTAATGATATCATATTGGTGTCATGTGCCTCCATGTAATCTACAAACAGGGGTGAGCTAGATTGCCCACTTTTTGGTTTATTGTATGGGGCATGCTAGTGATAGTGTTGACAACCTTTGGAGTTAGTAGAGTTTTTGCTAGGTGTGATAGAAGTAATCTGTGGTGTGGGTTGAGTAAATAATTCAGAAGGTGCTTCTGGGTCTGTATCAGTTTCGTTTGTTGATACTGCACCGAATAACTTTTTTGAGAATGATTGAAAGTATGTTTTTTGTTGTAACATGTTGTTGGGGAGCTCCAGAAGAGCTAAGACTTGAGAAACTTGTGTTTTTTGGGTACTATAGATTCTCTCTATTTTGCCGATTGTAATTACTTATTGTGTACCAGAGTAACTTGCTTGCCCAAAGGGCTTGTTGTATGAATTACTATAATACTAAAAACTTGCAAAGATTTTGTTTACTTTTTTACTATTGTCAATGATTTTCAGGGGTGAACTAGAAAGAGTTTTTTTATTAAAATAACGATTTGATTAAATCATATTTGCTAATAATCAAAAATATAATTTTTCAAAATGAAGTTTGTAAAGATAAAATAATTATGCACCAGATATTTAATATTTATTTATAGTTATATTTTAATTCATCATACCATATTTCACCTTGTTCAGAGCAAATAATTTTCTGCAGAAATAAATTGCTGATTTTGTTTATGACAAAATCAAAATTCTGCATGTATTAAGATTTATGAATTATGTATAAATTTTGTGTTGGTTATTCATGAATTCTGTATTGGTTATATTAGAAACTTTGAATGTTCTGCAATAAAGTAAAATATTAATTCAACCATGCTTGTATTTTATTTTCTATATCAGAAATTTTTAAAAGCTAAATTTTTAGCATCATGTACTTATAAAAAAATTATAAATCCTACTTTCAGCAACAATTCTGTGCTATTCTTTAGCTATAATTTTTTGCTACATTCCACCTATTCAGATTCATTTGAATCCAATCTAGTACAAATGAACTCATTATGGGGCTTATCATATTTCTGATACTAATATAATTATAGTATTTTTATGTAATAAAAATTATTGATAAATTAAAATAGTAAACTCATTGAATAAAATCAAGATACTGCTGTCTTTGTAATAAATTTAGAATTATGTAAAGCTTCACGGTTGCATTTACTTCTTTACTTGAGTTTTCATGTGTATGTATATCAGTTTAGAAGACTATAAACTATATCATTTAATACATTTCTGGAGTAAGTAAATCACATAGATGCAAAAAAGTTATTAACAGATAATACATATACAATACATACCTGGATTGAAAGCACGTAGTTCAGAAACCAAATCTAGACCCCAAACCAGTTTTTTTAAGACATTATTTCATACAAAACACCAGTCATAACTTTGCATCATCAGGAGAATTAAATAAGTACAAATCTGCAAAAACCTGCAAAAATGCAGATTTTTGCAGAATTTTTGCAAAAAAACTGCAAAATTTTTTATATTTTGAAATTTTGTACAGAACTGTATTTTAATTTCTGTGGCTATAGCTGGTGAGTCTGAAGTTTTGCACAGATTTTCATTTAATTTATTATTTATTTTTTTTGCAAATCTGTGCAAAATAGCACTAAAAAATTTCTTCCGATAATAACATCATATAACATCATCAAATACTTTATTTCCAATTAAGAATAAATAAAGTATAGATAATGATAACAATCACAATACACAAGATATATAAGGACTTCTTTTTTTTCTTGCAAATTTTATTCTTATTATTAATTTTTTATAACTTTTACTATTATTACTTCATTTTCTTTATTATTAGTTATAGTTATAATTTATAAGCTGTTTTATAGTTTATATACTGTTTTATACATCTTTATTTATTTTTTTCAATTGGTTTTTTTAATAGATATTGAGTTTTCTTATATTTTTTTTCAATGTATTTAAGGTGTTTTTGGTGGGTTAAGGGTGGATGTAGAGAGCTTTTTATTCATTTCTTGAGCTCTAGAGAATAAATTGAGTTAAAACTATGAACAACCCACTTGACTGGGAACTGAGCCATGACAAGTACCAGCAAGAGATGGGTTGGGTTTGCCTTCCCAACTGAAGAAATACACCTCTACACAGTAGTTGAAACAAGTAAGAGATTTAATCTCTGAAACTAAGTATCTCTATTTATTTATTTATTTATTTTTTTTTGTATAATATTTAATAATTTAATGATAAATAAAATGTTATAAATATATATAATGTTGTAATAAATATATTAAATAATAAAAATAAAATAAAATTTACTAAAGTATATAATTTTACATGATATCAGTTAAACTTTTTTTTATTCTATGTTATATGTCAAATTAATACTATACATATGCTATAGAAACAGTTGCAGTTGGAATATATATATAAAGTGTACTGTACTGAAGATATTTTAGTATTGTATTTTATGAAATTTTTGAAATGATACAATACAGTACGAATATTCCTGTATATAAAGATAATTTAGTACTGTATTATATAAAATTTGAAAAAGGATACAATACAGTACATTTCTTATAATAGTCAATTAACAAATATTACTAAACAGTAAATGGCATACCAAATTAGTACAAGCCAACATATTGATATTAGTTCAAATAATGAGTAGAATTACCTATTCAACACAAATCACTATATGGGATCTCTGCTAACAAAATGACTTTCTTTAATTTTGTAAATAAAAATTAAATTTGCCAGCTATCTAGTTATTCAATTTGAATGAATTTTTTTTTTAATTTGTAGATTCTATTGAGATTTACAAAATAAAAAAAAATTCATTCAAATTGGATTGCTAGATAGCTGACAAATTTATTTTTTTATTCACAAAATCAACATAGTCTCAGAGTTAGCAAAGATCCCATATTAGTTTTTTGAAAAGAATCATTATATTGAAAAAATAGAATGTCAAAAAAAATGAGACATCAAAAAAAATGGGATGTCGAAAAAAATAGGACGTCGGAAAAAAATAAGACGTCGGAAAAAATAGGAAAGAGGGCTTTTTTTTTTATTTTTATTTTTTTTCCTTAGCCAATTTTTTTAAACTTGTCTTTCTTTCTCTTATTTTTTTAACCCACCTTTGATTTTTTTTTTTTTTTTTTTTCCTTAGGATGGTCTTCTTGGATTTAGTTAAAACGTCATGTAGACCCGCCTTATATTAGTTTTTTTTTTTTTTTTTTCTTAGGATAGAATGCACACGCATGAAACCCATTATTATCTTCGGTCTGATTTTCTACTAAGTACAAAATACATAATATATATTTACATATCGATACATAAGATGCAAACATTTTTGAAAGATTTTATGCTACGTAGTTCAAATAATATTAAAGTGGTGTACTGTATAATTGGTTATATTTTTATTTAATACAATACAGCACACTTTATAAGAAATAAGTGTACTGTACTATTACATAATGCGAGTACAATACAGTACATATTGAGGCAACATACAGTACGAAATTTCTACAGTCCGTTGCAGTTGTGCTGAAAGTATTTAGACATCGATTTTTCAGCAAAAATAAAACCGCAAGCAATGTCGAAATCCAAAATATATATAGTTTTTAAATTCGTTTTAAAAAATTTAGAATTAGTGTTATCAACTTCCGTACATTCGGTAGCTAAATGATCCAGGACCAATGACTCTCTGCGAAAAATCTAAATTCCGTTATAAAATTTTTGAATTGTGTTGGTTATGCGTTGATTGTATAAAATCCGTGCATTATAAATTATGAATTTTGCACCAATTTTATAACTTATTCTCATAGATTATGCGGGATGGATGTTATTAAGGATTCGGAGTTAATGATAGTGGGTTATTAAGGAATATAGCGAAAGGTTTCATCAATTGTCGCAAAGATTTTTTTTTTTTTTTTTAAGTCCCAATTGTGTCAATTATTCTATTTGCGCTATTCGTTATTGTCACCCGATGATGACTTTAGGTCCGATAAAAAAACAAAAATTTCAAAATTTCTGATTCCATCAAAACAAAAATTAACCTTTGCGTGGTCTTGAACATGAATATATTAATTCACAATAGATAAAAAAAAAAAATCTGACCTGCCGACAAAAAATTTACTTTATAAACCTAATACTTTATATGCTACGATATTTCTAAACTATGATTTGTAGCTTGGGATTTAACAAATCGAACACATCAATTAATAAATAATCTTTATATTCACACATATTTTTTATTCTCATTAAATCAACACGAACGGGGTAGAATTGAAGAGGTATTTATACAGTAAAACCTCTCTATAAGTGCACATACTTGAACCAAACTTTAAGAACATGCAATTAAAAGAACAGATGATGTGCATTTAAAGAGAGTGCGCTTATAGAGGTTTTACTTTAATAATAAATTTGAACTCATCAATCAATAAATACATTTGATTAAGCAAATGAAAAAATTCAAAAGCATTTATAGAATTTTAGTTGTTATATAATAGTTGCTCTGGTGTATAACCACTTTATAATTTATATAAATAGTCTATTTTATATCAATAGTATTACTCTAGGGTGATTACTTCTTTTAAGTATTTCTTAATAAGCCGAGGTGAAGTGATGCCTAAATCACACCGATATGGAGTGGCTTATACTCTACAGTTACTTCGGAGTATTATACTCTATTAACATCCATACATTCAGCTGTACTTAAAATTAAAGTACATATCAAATTTGATGCAAATGCAACATATTTAATGAATTGGAAATGAATTAAGTGTGCTCACTTAATTTAAATATTAGCTTTAAACCGTGTAAGAGTCTATGCATACGTAAAATGGCAGTATTTCTATAATGGTTTAAAATTATTGATATTGATAAACACTTGGAATTAATAATACATTTTTCTCCCTACAGTTCATATTGTACCAAAACCAATTCTTCGTAATAAGATACTTCATCTTTGCTAACATTATATATTTCACAATCTTTTTGACATGTAAAAATCATTACTGTTCCCCATTCCATTCCAACATCAAATTGTGCAATCCCACATTTGTTACCTTCTATTCCACTCTTCTTTTCAGAGCTATTAGCTGCATACTCTCCTGTTGGAAGTATGCATAGCATATTTGGCATTAATTGGAATTCAAAAACTCTCTTGGATCCACATTTTGGGCATTTTGCGTACTTGTTTTAAGCTGTTTAACAGACCCATGTGGCGGAGATAGTAATAATGAAACTGTTGAATCACTTTGGTTATATAAAAGTGGCTGTCCGTCAAACTCATACCTTTAATAATTATATTAGTGAGCTCAAATATGTTTTCGAAACATTACATTGTGAATACTAATATTAATACATATTAATGTTAATGTTAATGTTACACACCTAATGCATTGATCAGGCCATTCCGATACACGATCCGAAAATTTTCTGAAAGCTTTGTCAACACCTCTTGGCAGACGAGATTTTTCATATTCTTCACCCATCCAATCAAACGAATCGTCTTCATTATTATTAAGAGTTTTGTGACATCATATCATGTGTACAAGTGTATAAATCCTGAATTAAGTGAACCATCAGAGCTAAATTGGATTAACATCCGTAATTGCTCTCCCAGCTGATGGTCACAATATGGTAAGGGATATAAAAGAAATCCAAGTTAATTCAATAATTTGGGAGTCACAGTTATCACAGTACTGATGAAACCATTCTGGAGAAGAATCGCTCTAGCATATATCATGCACTTGTTATTTTTATAATTTTTATATTATATCATTGGGTCATTTCAAATTTCAAATGACCAAATGACTAATGACTAATTCATTTGGTCATTTGGTCATGTTCATTTGAAATTGCCAACACTGGTATACAGTGGTATAATTATAAATTACATAATTATTATTTATTACTGTAATTAATACAGCAAAATGAAATTTTGGTATTTTGATTGGCTAATCTTTTATAAATATACATAATATTAATAAACTCTTAATAATTTGCAATTAGCAAAATTAATAACCCAAAATCAAATTGCAATCTAAGCTATTCCAATATGTATATTGGCTATTTTATTATACAAAAATCATAAATATTAAACTAAACCCTACAACTACAAAACTAATCATAACACCCCATAATCCAGGAGTTACATCGTTTGTACTAAATTTAGAAGATTCAGTTTCTTGAGCTAATAATGCAGCAGTTACTCTTCTAATTATTATGATAGTGCTTGGATCATAAGACATCACAGAAGGTGTTGGATCACCATCAGCATCTGTTACTGTTAATGTCTCTGAATGGCCGGCTATATATTCAGTATAAGTTGCAATATAAGTTGTATATTTAACATTTGATGAATTAGCACCTGAAGGAAGAGGTATGAATTCATCTGCTAGAGTTATTGTTTTTATAATAGGTTGCCTGTAAAAAAAGAAAATAAATAAATAAATAAATAATAATTAAAAATATCATAAAATATATTATAAAGTTAAGAAATTTACCCATTTGATGGAGTGCATTCAGGATCACTTGCAGACTTACAGGTTGGAAACCCTTCATAAGGATCACTCGAGTATATTGTGTATGTGCTCCCTGTAGACGCAGAGGTTCTACCACTACCTCTCCGTCGAGTATCAGTAGAAGTATCAGTAGAAATATCAGTATTAAATCTCCGTGTAGGAATATCAGTAGGAGTATCATCAGAGTTATCAGTATTAGTGGAAGTAACTGCAGCCGATGGTCTGAGAATAGAATTAGGGCCAGGGGGGCCCTGACGTTTTTCCAATCTTTCCGCATTTATATTTTCGGCTAAAATAAAATTAACAACCAATAATTTGAGCACGATTAATAAAAAAATTAAAGTCCGATTCTTGAACATGAACATGATTTACTTTATAGAAAACTAGCGAAAGCATTGGAAAAATTGAAAAAACGTAAATATTACCATCGTTACAGATTTATTGTTTACCAGATTACACAATTTCTATTGATGGCAGACGCACATATTCTTGCATACGTACGTACGTACGTACAGTAAATGAAACCAACATTTCGTGTACGTGTGTACAGTACTGTACGTGCGCGCATATGAAGATAACGGTTAAACCGTTGTTAATTTATCAGCTTTAGCATCACTAACCTTATCATATGTTTATGTTACCGTTACAAAATTAAATAAATATTGATACTTGAAAATTTGTACACTATTAATAATTGCGTTGCAGTTTGTAATTAGCGATCGATCAGTAAATTGAATTTCTTGCTGCGTTATCCATTACGTCTTAAGAGATCGGAACATCCTAAAGTCAGCTGACATTGAGGTATTTTTGACATATGACCAACCAGAACTATTATGCGGTTAAACGGTTCCAATCCCTCGGAAACTTGACCGCAAAATTATCATAAGTAATTAATTATATTGTATTGTATATATCACAGTAAATACAACTTTAGTGAGACGTTGTAAGGAATATGTAACCTTCGTTGGAGTTATTCTGGATCAGTTGTGCAACTGCTGGCTTGGCCGGATTGGCACACAACTAGAAATGCTAATAATTCGATTAAGTCGATGATTTGGATAGTTAAGTCTAACTATAGAGTTAGTCGACTTGAGCCGACCAAGAAATATAATTCAGTATATAATTATTAAGAAACTACAGTATATATATATAATATATATAATAAATCAAATTCGTATCTCATTTTTACTATAATGTGGTAAATTATATGCATAAAAATAAAAAGTCGACTTGAGTCGATCCGAGTCAAAGTCAGTCGAGTCGAATTATTAACATCTCTAAATTGAGGTCCTGCAGACTAGAGCTATAGGATAACTTTTGTGATTAGTCGATTTATTTTGTTTAGAGTATTTATACAACTTACCACCGAAAATTTTTTAAAAATTATGGTAACCATTTATAATATTGTGAATAGAAGTTGGCCAGATTTTAATCTATGGCTTACAGATTATTCATTACCAGAAGTAGTGTTGTATATTTGGAGATCAAGGCTTTTTTTTAACTGTCCATCGAACAGTTTGCGAACAGTTTGGTGTAGAATTGATCTCATTTAAGAAATGATTGATTATTTGGCAGAATGTAAAACACAAGAGACGAATTCATCACGAAGTTGTTTTTACATAGAGTTACGTAGAATTTTTATGTAGCTTTATGAACCCAATGTAGATTTACATAGA